AATCAAATATTCTTGAAATACTCCTTTGGAAAATGTGTTTTTCGTCTTGGAAATGTACATATGCTGCGTATCACGATGGCTTAATGACTTCTAAATGTACCGTAAAATAAGGACCAAAAAAAATGCACTATATCCTATACTGAATGCTGTTTGCAAATTCATGGGTACAATATAAAAAAAAAATAATAATACATAAATATACGCAAATGTTTTTATGGTTATTGTATTTTAGTTTAATAGTTATGTTGAAATTGCTAAGAATGAGCTCAACATTGTCCCACAAGCTCTGTATGAGATAATGTCCAGACATCCAGAAACAATTAAATCAGAAACCATTTCTCTTGTATGGTATTTCATTTGTGAAGATAATTATAATTGTACGTGTAACCTCACATAACATTTAATTAAATACAAAATATAAAGGCATAGTAACCAAGATTAAACCACGTAATCATTCCTGACTATTTGGTTTGCCGAGCATACCTCCAAAAAATGATTTATTAGTTGGATCACTAAACGAAGAATTTTGCTGTATTATAATTTAATTGAAATGTGGTTTCTTTCATTTATTGTGTTCTGTTTTATATCTCTGTGTAAAAGAAGGGGCTGTTTTAGCTCATTGGCTTTGCTTCCTGGTGAAAATCAGTGATAATATTGCAGTGTTCATTGGCTTCCGGTACTTAAATGGACAAAGTTAGAACATAAATATTTAATAATTATCCTCAAAGGGGATATAGAGTGACAAAATAATGATTATAATATTATCTTTTTAACAGCAGTCGTAATCTTATATAGAACTGTTTTGGGTTTACTTAGACATCCTTACCCTGTAAAAGAAAGCAACATTTATTAGTAACAAATCAAATACAATAAAAAAAACTAGCATGGCATTTAGCAACAAACTGCTATTTTTTTAACAACGATAGAGGCTTTTTTCAGTGTAAAACTTGCTATGCATATAGTAATAGAAGTTAAAACCAATGATAAAAAGTCATGATTTTTTTTTTTCCACTTAGCAAGAAAAATATTTTTAGATTTAGAGGCTCTACTGTATGCTCACTGAGAATGTCATATATTATATGGAATATTCTAGGAAGAACCACAAAGGCATTAGGAACCAGAATAGGCAAATTAGGAACATTCACACAGCAATAGCACATATTGTCACATACGATAATGCTGACACTAGTACAGGCAAATTTGGAGGAATCCACGAAGTTTAAAAAAATCAGAGAGGGGTAATCTTGTTAAGAAACTTGGAAAATAATACATTTTACACGGCAACGTTTTTATGTTTATGTTTAAAATACAAAATGCTAGAGACACCAAAACTCATTTCAAAAGAGGGAAGGAATCTCTATCATGCACAGCTAAATATGCTTTCATCTATAGAGCAGCCTGCAGACCCTGTCTCTGCAGGTACACTTAAAAATGTCCACGGTAATTTTTCTTTCATTTTTGGATAAATCTCCTACTTTCAACTTAAAATGGCTGCTGCTCCCCATTTTCTTTAAGACAAGATAGCAAAAGGGAAAAGATTATAATCACTTTCTATATTTTTTTTAATCCAGATATACAATAATCTAATTTTGTCAATTCTAAATTTAGGCCTAGTGATATTGTAGCTGTTTTTGCATGTCAGCACAGTCATATGAATCATTTTTCCTGTTTTTTTTGGCTGCTTGAATTGGTTCCCCTAATTTCGAAATTCAGAAGTAAATTCTGCTGTCCCGAAAATAAAAAAAAAATATTTTTTCCAATCACTGGATTTTTTCACCACAGGTTTTTAATTTATTATTTTTTTTTAGTACATTTAAGTTTTCTCTATTTTATTCTGGTTGGATTGTAAGGTAATATAGCTTTTTTAAAGATATTTTATCGGGATCTCTCTATTAACAAGAGTTGCTTACTATTTGTTGCTCTCCAGACACGTTGCCATGACAACCTGGCTTGAGGTTTTGAACAGCTGTACTGTGTTGTGCTACATGTAATGTAATGGTGTGTGTTTGCACTATGTGTTTGGATTCTCATTATTTTATTTTATTGTGAGATATTACTTTACTGTGGAATGTGGTATATACATAAAGGGTTGCCAGGGCAACTGACAACCCAATGAAGGATAATACTGTAGTATTTTAGCATACATGTATTTTTATTTTTATATAGTTTCATACTATCATGATGAATAGACATATTGGCGTATTTTAAATTTCTTTTTTTTTGTTACACAATTAATATTCCATATATGGCCATATTCTGAAGGCTATTCTTCTTCATGAATAAGTATGGGCATATGACTTGGAACAATGGCATTTAAGTAGGCCCCTGTAGAGAATGGGAGTATGCCATTGAAAAACCTTCCAAGTCAAGCGAAACACGTTTGTCATTTTATACTTATTTCTACTGAATTGTTATTTGTGGACTCTACACTACTAAAGTTGTGCCAATGTAAACCTAATCCTAACAATTAGAAGTAGAGTTCCACAGGCATCACAATGTAGGCTGAAGGGAAAAAAATATTTATTGGCGCTCAAAAAGGACAAAAAAAAGATACAACGTTTCGGCCTAGAGGCCTTAGTCATGTATACCAAGTGTACATGATATGGTGAAGTAACACATATGGTTGGTATACATGACTAATGCCTCTAGGCCGAAACGTGTATCTTTTTTTCTCCTTTTTGAGCGCCAATAAATAATTTGTTTCTTTTTTTGTTCTTTTGATCTCCAATAAATAATTTTTTGCCTTCACTCTACATTTGTGCCTACACATGTGGAACTCTACTTCTAATTGTTAGGGTTAGGTTTAGATAAAGTGGAAACCATGTAAAAAAGGTGAAAAGACTAAATATAATCATCAGATTTGGCAAAAGTTGGCGATAAAATGGTTAAATGAAAAGTGCCAAGAGGCTCTTATATAAATACATCAAGCCAGGGTTTGGCAACCTATGGCACTCCAGATGTTGTGGATTACAGCTTCCCTGATGCTTTGCCAACATTATAGCTGCAGGTAAATTCCTTTTAATTAATTATATGATTTCTGCTGGCTATTGGTTGCATTAAAGGTTATTTAGAGATCCCATAATAAGGGAACTGAATACTTAATCAACCACACAATGTCTATTTTGAAAATTGAACTTGAATCTAGGCTAACATAGGTGAAATTAAGATTTATTTTCCAAATCAGCAATTTATGTATACACGTTTGAACCTGTGTGTGAATGCATTGGTGAAGATGGGTATGTGTGTGTACACATCAAGATCTTGATTTATGTATACATGAAGATTAAATTATGAAAGTGTGCATATGTAAGGTGGCAGATGCTTGGACTGACCAAGATTAGTAGGAATTATGCTTTAAGGCAGCAGCCATTATCATCATGTTAAACCAGCCCTATCCTATTAGTGAAATCTGGGGTACAGCACTAAGATTGAAGGAATCCCTAACCCAAGGCTATGGTTATCTGTACGGGAGATAGCAGTTCCGTTTTAAAGCAGATCTGTCACATTTAAGATTCATGAGACAAAAACATCACCCTGGACAAAGAAGTACTTGTACTTTGTGTTTGTTTCTTTTGTGTACTACTCACCACAGTAAAAGCTTAAATAGAATTTACTAGCGTTATGGTATTAGAAACAGTTAAAGTTCCAATTCAGGTTTACAACTTGAAAATAAAATTTAGCTTAACCTGTACCTTGAACATTGTTATTGATACTTAATTTTACACAAAGTAATTTGTTTGTATGTATGTATGTATGTGTGTGTATATACGTATCTCACACAGTATCTCACAAAAGTGAGTACACCCCCATTTACATTTTTGTAAATATTTTATTATATCTTTTCATATGACAACACTGAAGAAATGACACTCTGCTACAATGTAAGTAGTAAGTATACAGCCTGTATAACAGTGTCAATTTGCTGTCTCCTCAAAATAACTCAACACACAGCCATTAATGGCTAAACTATTGGCAACAAAAGATACGGTATAAATGTATATTTATACTGTATACTTATAGGATGAAATAAAAAAAATCCATAGCTTTGGCACACACTCTGTGCTTGACAACTGATAATTATAAATAATTAGCGCAAATGCGTTTGGCAGAACTAATAGCGTAATGGTTTCAATATTGTCATTTAATAAAATGTATTTAACTGCAATAATTATCACATTCATTATTGTAATCTTCTATAACATTGTGACACGGGTTGACACAAGTTCAACATAGATCTATTACCGTATTAGAAATATCTAAGTTAATATACAACACATGTTGTAACATGATCTTTATTATAAAAAAATATTATATTTAAAACCACAGCCTATTTTTATTTAATAAGGTAGGTTCTTAGGATAGATTACCATACCCACTAATAATAAATCAAAGGAGAGGATATGTAGATTAGAATACTAGCAGAAGGTGTTCTCTGTACCTTTTCAAAGACCACTCCACACTTGGGAAAAAAACAAAACACAGTTTAGTATATTAAGACACGCATGCATATTTTTTTTTTATTAATTAATGTGTTTCAGTCCCCCCTCCCCTCCATGTGTCTCAGTCCCCCCTCTCACTTCTGTGCCTGCCAACTTTGTAGTATGCCAATCCGCACTAAAGATTCTCTACTTGGACTGACAAGGCCTTTACCCAGACTGACAGGACGTTCTTTTCCTGAGTTCCTATTTTGAACAATGAAATTGGCACTTTTATAAATGGGGATTTTAAAAGGATACTCCACAGCCATATAGCAATTCAGCAAGCTAAAGTGCTCTATGGCTGTGGAGTGCTATTTCAAGTACTGAATACAGTTTTCTTAATCAATCCATGCATTCCAAGCTCTTTCCTACTGTCAAACCTTTGTTATGAGATAGGCATTTATGTGGGTAGAAAACAGGTGTCGGGGGGGTCCGGTAGCATGCAGGAGAGGCTCAGGAGGAATGTTGCCTCTTAAGCTACAATTTTGCACTCTTTTGCACTCAAAAGATACCTACACAGCAATGGAAGAGGTAGCGGCCCGAGATCGGGAGTTTTGGACCACCTGTGGGCCACGAAGCTTCGGAGGCTGCGGTCTCCCTTCCCAGCTACCACATGTTGGCTTACTGAAATGCTTGCCAGTCCTGTTCCCCCTCCCATGGGATCCGACGATACGCAGTCCTCCAAACCAGCTTACCAGATTCCCGCGCCTTGTTTACAAAATGGCGGTACAGCAGCCTACAATGAGCACAAACACAGCAGAGATATCCCTGACACATACCGACCGCAGCTCCCATTCAGGAACTATAAGCACACTAACAGTTAGCAGTTACTCTTGGCTGCCCCGACCTGCATACCGGAGGATGAAGCCTGGTTCCCACCGCTGCCTTCCTGGGCTTCGAGCTCCCAGAGGATACACCTCGAACCACAGCCCCATACATGGATAAACCACCTTTACCAGGATCCCCATCAATGGCCCTGGTAGAGCCAGAAATGAAGGAGAAGGACGCGTGCTCTTGCAATGTATAGGGCGGGAAGAGTGGCACCTTTCAGACTTACCCTCATGCTGTGATTTAGTTACCACTACACTCCAGGCTGCCAAAGCCAGAAGATTACGCAGGCGGTCCTGTATCCCTACTCCAATGGTCTTATGTTGCCGGGCCAGGTGGACTGCATGACTGGCCTCACAAGGCTCTAGTGGACTCCATCAACTGCACAAGCATACTCAGCCAATGCATGTTTTACGTTATTTTCATTTGCTTTTAGTCTATCTCCTCTGGTTGGGTGAAGGTTGCTATATTGTTGAGCTTTCAAACTCATAATATCACTCAGCATGTCTTGAATCTATAATGTACCTGAGCCATATATATATATATATATATATATATATATATACTTACACTATGCAAATAGCAAAACCTGCATGATCTGATGGCTAGCATCATCTACTGTCTTCTTACTATTCCTAAAAAAAAGTGCTTTTACTCAGCATGCCATGTTTACTACTTGTACTTTATGTTATTACTCAGCCTGTATTAGCTGTCATGGCGATATAAGCGTATTTGTTCCACATTGCGCACAAAAAATAAAGAATGTTAAAAAAAAAATGAAAACAGGAGTTGAAGGTGTTTTTTCAGTCTCCATTGTAACAATTTTAAAAGTAGACTTCAGGCAATATTTGTATTATTGCTTATATCATTGGACCAATACTAATCCTGAACTCAATTTATATAAAGTATCTTTGCTATGCAATTGTTAACAAACACAACAAGAGAATTAAGGCAGGGGTCCCCAATCCCCGGGCCGCGGACCAGCATTGGTCCGCGGCCTCTGTTCAGCGCAAATGCACTCATTGCACGGTCACCTATCTCAGCAAGAGTTTGAGCATTACTACCCAACCACAAAAGACTCCAGAAATGGAAAGGAATGGATCCGTGACCCATTTGTGAATAAGCCAGGTGAATTGACTTTGTCCATGAAAGAAGAGGATCAACTGCTTGAGATAGCAAATTATGGTGGTCTTAAAAATATGTTTGGGACAACTTCAAATCTCCATACGTTCTGGATTAAAGTCGGGACAGAATATCCTGAGATTGCCACAAAAGAACTGAAAAGCCTCCTTCCATTTCCAACATCTCAAATTTTTTTGAAGCAGGGTTTTTTGCAATGACACCAACCAAAACAAGACCACGGAGTAAACTGGACATAAGCAACACACTTTGGGTATCACTGTCTTCCATCACCCCAAGATGGGACCTTCTAGTTCAAGTAAAACAAGCCCATAGATCCCACTGATTCCGCATTATGGTTAGTTGTATAAGGATATAATAATTATAATAGGTGAAAAGAAACTGCATATAAATTTAACACATTTCAAACATCCTGAATCACCTGACCAACTGCTCCCAATCCCCGGGCCATGACATTTTTTTTCTTCAATAGAAACGGTCTCCAGTGCCAAAAAGCTTGTCGACCACTAAATTAAGGGATAATGGGACATATTTAATGTAGACAATTATGTAAAAAACCTGGGACATCCAAATTATGCTTATCCATTCAGTTTAATAACACGTACACCTGCATTGTGATCAGGGCCAGATTGAAAACCCAGTGGGCCTGGTGCTGACAATTATGATGGGCCTAATTACAAATCCTTATCAACCAAAAACACTAAAACAGTCCTACCTCCCAAGCGTCATGTATCTGTTGGAGATGGTGCTGGAGGTAAACTCATAGGATGCAGCTATGAGAAAACACATACCCTATGCTAATCTCACGCTTTCAGCTTTCAAGTAAACCCATACCCCTAACAGCAGTGTCCAGTAAAGCAGAAAGTCTATGGATGGGGTAAAAGGGTGGGCCACTGACACAAATCACATAACCAAAGCTGCTGAAAGGGGCGAACATACACAAAAAGGGGGCATGTCTGTGTCCCCATGTCTCACAGTCCCTTAGTGTCTGTGTCCCCATGTATCCCAGTGTCCCCATGCCACTAGGACACTAGGGGATATTGAGAGACATTGGAACACTGGGAGACATGGGATACTAGGGAACACTAGGGGACTCTTTGGAACACTGCGAGACATGGAGACACTGGGTGACTTTGAGACATGATGGGACACTGGGAGACATGGGGCACTGAGACACTGTGATACATAGGGGACACTGTTATATATTGGGGACACTGGAGACTTGATAAAGACCTGGGTACAGTTCAAAACGTTAAACAATAAACCTGCTTAAATCTATCACAGTGAGTGCCTGAGATTTTTTTATTTTATACTAGTGGACACTGAGACACTTGGGGGCACTGTGAGACATGGGGACACTGGGAGACTAGGGGGTTCTGAGACACTAGGGGACACTGAGACACTAAGGACACTGAGACACTACAGACACTGAGAGACACCAGGGACACTGGGAGACATGGGGTACTGAGACACTCTGATACATAGGGGACACAGTGATACATAGGGGACACTGGATACTTGAAAAAGACCTGGGTACAGGTTGAAAGGTTGCGGTGTCCAATAAACCTGCTTAAATCTATCACAGTGAGTGCCTAAGATTTTTTTCTTTTATACTATGAGACACTGAGACACAAGGAAACATGGGGACTCTGGGAGACATTGGGACACAGAGACACTGGGAGACTAGGGGGCTTTGGGAGACTAGGAAACACTGAGACACTAGTGACACTGGCACACTACGGACATTGAGAAACACAGAGGACACTGGGAGACATCGGGATACTGAGATACTAGGGACACTGGCTAGGAGACATGGGGACACTGGGAGTGCCCCATGTCTCCCAGGTCTCAAAGTCGCCCAGTGTCCCCACATCTCCCTGTGTCCCCATGTCTTTCAGTGTCCCCTAGTGGCTCAGTGTGCCCATGTCGCTCAGTGTCCCTTAGAGTATGTGTCTCCATGTCTCCCAAAGTTCCGAAGTCACTAGGACACTAGGGGACACTTAAAGACATTGGGACACTGTGAGACATGGGGACACTGAGACACTGGGAGAGACATGGGGACACTGAGATACATGGGGACTCTGGGAGACTAGGGACACAGACACTAGGGACACTGAGAGACATGGGGACACAGAGACACCAGGGACACTGGGAGACATGGGGTACTGAGACACTCTGATACATAGGGGACACAGTGATACATAGGGGACACTGGATACTTGATAAAGACCTGGGTACAGGTTGAAAGGTTGCGGTGTCCAATAAACCAGCTTAAATCCATAACAGTGAGTGCCTAAGATTTTTTTCTTTTATACTATGGGACACTGAGACACAAGGAGACATGGGGACTCTGGGAGACATTGGGACACAGAGATACTGGGAGACTAGGGGGCTTTGGGAGACTAGGAAACACTGAGACACTAGTGACACTGGCACACTACAGACATTGAGAGACACCGAGGACACTGGGAGACATCGGGATACTGAGATACTAGGGACACTGGCTAGGAGACATGGGGACACTGGGAGTGCCCCATATCTCCCAGGTCTCAAAGTCGCCCAGTGTCCCCACATCTCCCTGTGTCCCCATGTCTTTCAGTGTCCCCTAGTGGCTCAGTGTGCCCATGTCGCTCAGTGTCCCTTAGAGTATGTGTCTCCATGTCTCCCAAAGTTCCGAAGTCACTAGGACACTAGGGGACACTTAAAGACATTGGGACACTGTGAGACATGGGGACACTGAGACACTGGGAGAGACATGGGGACATTGAGACATTGGGAGAGACATGGGGACACTGAGATACATGGGGACTCTGGGAGACTAGGGACACAGACACTAGGGACACTGAGAGACATGGGGACACTGAGAGACACCAGGGGCACTGGGAGACATGGGGACACTGGGAGAAACCAGGGACACTGGGAGACATGGGGACACTGAGAGACATAGGGCCACTGTGTCCCTAGTGTCCCTATGTCTCCCAGTGTCCCAATGTCTCAGCGTCCCCAAGTCTCTCACCATCCCCATGTCTCGCAGGCTCAGAGCTGCTGTCTGGACTATCTGTGCAGAGCTGCTCCCCCGTGGATCAGTGTCTAGGGAGAGGCAGGGAGGGAGATGCTGTAACTTCTTGTCCATGCCTCTCTCCACACAAACATACTGAGACAGACATTTGTATTGCCAGTATTACTGCAATACTGGCACCAGCTAGACAGCTCAAATACCTGAGAAACACTTCTGAGAAATATCTGGCAACCCTAAGAGTAGTGTGCCTGAGCCTGGAGCTGCAGCACCATCAGCCCCTATGTTAATCCGGCCCTGATTGTGATAAAACATATGAGACAAGATAAAATATGACAAATTAATGTGACTCCTTATTTCTAATAGTCTAAAAAAAAGCACTAACATATTTCTGCTAATCTTTAACAAATTCTGAGCCTGCAATAAGTATTTTTTCAAATTATAATTTTTCGGGAGCACAAATACATTCACAGAAAAAAAAAAAAAGTAAGTAAATAAATAAAAACCCAAATTTGGCAAAAAAAGAAAAAAAAAAAGAAAAGGGGCAACCAGTTCATAGGGCCCTCTGATAACTGGCGAGGGCTAACACTATAGCGGTTTCAATAAAAAAATAATTATTAAAAGTTCCAACCTTTATTTACACAGAGCTTAAGTGTAATTTTCCTGAACATGCGCCACGGATTAGTCATTCCCCTTTCTGTCATCCTGCACAGTGATTTTCGGTCAGGTAAATGCATAACTAAAGGATCACTTAAATGGCTGGGAGAGAGGGATCCTATAGCTCATTCACTGGCTGAGAGCATCAGCTGACCACTCACATCCAAAGAATGAGTATCCACGCATAGAAAATGACATTAGCCAGCCCAAAACTCTTGTCTGAGGACTCCCCAAAGACCAAAGTAGTTACAACTCCGACAGCAAGGGAGTTAAACTCCGTATGTACCGAATTTCATAGCAAAATGCTGCACACATACCTAGACACCATAACCACTTCAAAACAGTGAAGTTGTCATGGTTCTTTTAGTGACCATTTAAGCTAGGTAAATATATAACTGGTAAGTCTGAAAAGCATTTTTTGCTTGTTTTTTTTTAAATCAGCACTGCTTACAACAAGCAATAATTCAAATTCAATTTAAAGACAAAAAAAAAGCTGCAAATAGAGACTAGTCATGCAATCTCAGTTTCAGCCTGTAGGTGTCAGAATAATGAAAGGATAAAAAAAAGAGTTACTTATATTTGGTCTTTACAACCCCCTTCAACATTTTCCCTTCCTGCCTTGCTCTTTAATCTATACTTAGTACAGTTTCAATGCACTCTTTCTTTCTTTTTTTTTCTTTTTTTTATTTAATCAAGGCAGTGCAAGTCCTTTCTGTCTGCGATTCGTTGCTTCATTACATCTGTAATAGTCCCCTGAATACCAGAGGTGCGTGTCATATACATTTCCCCGGCACACAAAGAGATATTGCAAAGAGCTAGTTAAGAACATAGCTTAGGCCCTGCATGCATCGTCAGTGGGATGCTGTGCAAAAGAATATCTAATTCAGAGAGACCCAGATTATTCCATTTTAGAGCTAACATAAAATTCTGTAAAAAGTCCAATAAAATCTGTCCATTAACAAACATCCTCCCCTGCAGTGTAGGTTAAAAAAGGATAGAGTTTTCTATACTTTTACCAGGATCATTTTTGGTGTCACATTTGATTCTGGAAGCTGGTTTTCTCATAGGTTGTGGAGGTGATGTACATTAGTTTGTTAGAGAACATATTGAACTCATGGCAAAGGATCATTTCTAGAAGATAATATACTGTGCCTTGGGAGGAATTTAATTGTAGACGCTGTTCATTACACAGGCAATTTTACTACCAGCACTTTTAGATTGTGAAGGTGGAAATTTACAGTTTATTTCTGAGCTCAGTGGGAACACTTGTCCACCCATCCCCCTACCACAGCTTTATGAACGTGATCCCTTGAAGTAATTGTATCAGATATTATCTGGGGCTTTTTGATGTAAAATGACCGAGGTGACAATTGCACCTTAAGCTGCAACAGCTCATAAACCAGTAAATAGATTATGTATTATAAATATAAATTATATAGTTAGTTGCTTTAGGAGATGTTAAGAGGTTACTGACATGCTCTCCAGTGTTCCATAATCACCATGCTTAGAGGACTGTGGACATTCACTACTATAATACTCACCCTCTGGTCTTGCCTTGGGTCTAACCCTCCCTCATGTGACTCGCTCAGCTTGCGATCAATTTGCCTTCACTGCCAACACAGTCATCAGTTACTCTGTATATCTTCCCCAAACAATTATCAGATACACTGGCTGGGGGAACCTTTGTGATGAATAGCTAGAGAACCTCCTGGGGGTAGGTTCTCCCAATCTAACCTGTCACTCAGTCCTCAGCATAGAATTCTATCTGACTTTATACCAAAAATTGTTTCACAGTGTGGTGGCATATTTAGTGATAAAATTATCTCAGAATGTACATGTGTTATCATAGGTGCTCCCACAATGTATAAATTAGTTTTTATTCTGTCTCAGTGTGACAGGATTTCAGTTAGGACCAAAATCTCCACATGTCGTATCTGAGTTACAGTAATTAAATCTATAATGAGCATGTGCAAAACCTGAAACCACATTCCAACCTCTCTCTGTCCCCATGTTGCTATCCGTATAGGGTAATCCTGTGCATACTGTTTACTGATTGGTGTAAGGGTAGATTTGGGGGATGTATAGTCTATAAAATGCCTGTAATTCAAAATTCCAGTGCTCAGACCTAAATAATTTAAAATAAACCTGTTTGCTTCATGAATCGACCTGTGTCCGCACTCTCTGTGCGTGGCTTCATCATTGTTTTCCTATAACATCAGTAGAACATGCACTTTAAAATGCTAACAATGGTATAATGGCACCTTGACAAATTAAACCTTATCTAACTACTGTGTGTCTTAAACACCAACAGAACCACACACTAGGAAAGTGGTATAAAATACTCCAGAGCCACGCCAGCTCACTGACTTCCATATTAAAGTGTTACTCCAAGCACCATGACCACTTCAGTATGCCTCTATGTGCAGCATTTCATTATGAAACATTGCACATACAGAGATTTTTATTTTTGTTGCCAGGGGTGTAACTACAGCTCCAGCAGCATCATTAGCCAGCCTGGAACGAGCCCTGGGTCAGCACTATCTCCATTACATCATTCCCCTGCACTGACATGATTGAAGGTAGATCGAGCTGTAGGAAGAGTTTGGCCTCGTCACTCGATTACAGTTCATGTTATGCTTTTATATCTTTATTATTTTTAAAAGGGGTTGGCATACCAGCAAGGATTACTCAAAAAACAGTGTTTTAATAAAATAATAATTTTGGATACAAAGAGGATTCTAAGACATCGCTTTATCATTGATGAGCCTGTCTATAAGCCTTCTCATTCATATCACATGCTGGAATGTGAAAACATATATGATAACATATGATCCCTAGTTAGTGGTGGTGAGATAAGCTTCCCTGCCCCACGTCTGTGTAAATAGGATTTTTAACTGAGTTGAAACTCCATTGTAGTTGCTGGATTGACAGTGTAGGCACAGCTAGGTAAGTGATATTCAGATTAGCAAGATACATCACTACTTGTATATCTCTAAACAGCAAGTATAAGGAAGTAATGGTATGATAATTATGTTTAGACAGATATCATGATTTTTTTTGGCTCTTAAAATGTGTTCTCTATTTTAATGGAGAGAGACTTACAGTGTCTCATTAAGTTTCAGTGGAGGGTGAACCTCCCTATGTAGCTCTCTATGTAGCATTAAACTATGATTATAGTCTTTTTTCCCACAGTGATCTTGAGATATTTCAAAGAAAATTATTGGCTTCTTAGTACTTATGTGATTACCTGCTTAAGTGGGTCATAACAGTAAGTAGTGAGATGAAAGATTTGTAAGGTGGGACAGAAAGATAAGCAGAGATGAGAAGACAGAAGAAAGGACATAGAAATTGAAAAAATGTAGGGAAAAATAAGCAGAAACAAAATGATTTAAAATAGATGGGATAAAGAAAAGCAAAAAAAAAAATGATGACAGAAAGAAAAATATAGAAACTCAGGATGAAATAGAGAGATGATAGAGGATAATGTTTAATGTATTTCTATAACACAGGATTCTTATATTTTATTTTAATTGACCACAACTCACCACTTATGGAATACAACCATTATTAAGTGGCCAAACGATTAAGTTGCTGCAAAATCTATTGTTCATATTATTATTATTACATTTCTACCATTTTTATTTTTCAAATGCCTGAAAATCTAATCTTAGACACAAACCTGTGAAGCTTGGTGAAATGGTAGAGACCTCTGGAGCACTATTGCATTTATTACAGCATTTGCATCTTTAATTCCAGTTAGGCCAATTATCCCCACTCTATTTCTCCTGGTTTTTGGATTAATCATCCTAATTTTTGTTTCACGTTTTCTAAAAAGCTATTAATGGGGGGGTTATTTCACCAGTTGAGATTACTGAGTGTTTGGATTCCAGTATGAACCTAGTTCGATCCGTGTTTTTCCACTCTTGTTTAGATAGATTATTTTGTTCTTTATTTCCACTATATATTTTGTGAAACCTAGCCCCATTAAATATCATCAGTGTAATCATTTCTTATGAGTTTCTAGTAATATATAGCACCAGGTGATTCCCCTCAAGCAAATTAATAATGACACTCATTTTTCTACATCAAGCTCAAAGAAACAGTCTACTTCCCATTGTAGCATGCACCTAAATTTCTCGATATCAGCCACCGTTAGTACTAGCACCCCATAGCACATAATTGAATATAATAAAAAGCATAGCTAGGGGACACATAATATTTTGTTTGTTATGTGTTGAAACAACCATCCCAGACAGATATTATGTTAGTCCAGCATGGAAAGCTGGAGTTGGATGACATCCGCGGGCGTAGACTCTTAGGCATCCATAACAAATTTGTTG